CCCACCACACCTCAAAAAACGTTGGATGACGAAATATCAAAATGTCAACGGTCATAGGGAAATCACGCCAGTACAGTATATAAAGGGCGGTTTTTCGCCGAATAAAGTCGGTCTCAATTAAATTTTCGGCTCGGAATCTTCAAGTGGTACCCTGCTCGTCATCCAGTTCACTTTTCAAGACCCGTCTACACGGGAGCAACTCTGCAGGACCACCCTCTGACGTCACCACTGGGCATAGTCTGAGCGTACAACTCGACTCTCCTTGCAACCCCAGATTGAGTGCGCCACTTTAATTACAACCAAAGGAGCCAAAGTATAATTTCGACTCTTGGTTATCAATGAGGGACCCTGCTCATTATTAAAGCTGACCCATCGAGATCCATCTGTTGGGAAGCAGCTCCACAGCATTGCCCACTGTCATCACTACTAGTTAGAGTGGACAACTCGATTTTTCTGCACTGCGTCAGATCGACTGCGTTTCTTTAAGCCAGCACCGACCTGGTGAATTCTTCAGCGTACAACTAAGTTTCCCCGAGCGTTCAGCCGAGGGTATTTCTTCAAGCCAGCACAGAATTGGTAAATCGCTCAGCGTACAATGAACCGCATCTCGAATGCACTACTCAGGGAATTTTCTCGTCAAGCCAGCATCGACCTGGTAAATCACTCAGCGTACAACTGAGTTTATTCCGAGCAGCTCCGGAATTTTTCTAGGCCTAGCAACATACAGTTAGAGAGTAACCAAGTTCTGCCTGAGTGGACAACTCACACCTACCAGCAACACCAACACCTCCTGAGTCATCACATCATCATCACTAGCGCTAAAGAAGCGTGTTTGAGCTCTTTCAACTCCATCAGTCGTAAAGGATCTAGCATACTTTTGGAACTCTCCGGAATCCACTGCGAAGAGGAAACAGCAAGAGACGACATTCCCTCCTGCCGTTTATTTCTACAACCGTAAGTCAGAAAACCACACCACCAACATTTATACTATTCTCTCCTACACTTTTTCCATATCTACCCCTGGTTTTTATATTGGACTTTTACTATTCTGCATCTCAAGTGAAGTGTAATACATTTAAAATGTATTTAAAGGTAAATTTAAGGGTATCTTCCTCTTTGTGTGCGAATTCCTCATTTCATATCCTTATCATACTTCAGTACCTAGTCCCACGCACTAGGCCCCACTAAGTAAGATTTATAAAATCCTTTCTCCACACTACCTGTCGTGAATAGTTACGTCAATATATCTGAAGGGCTCACTTTTTATTCGATATTTCGACCTACCTAGTGACCCAGTGTCCGCAACAGACGGTACCGTTCTCATTTTCGGATTTTCCAGTAATGGAACGAATGGACATGAATGACATTGTATTTTAAAACAATTCATCGAGGCGTTGAGGTGAAAAGTGTATTTGCCATTTTGAAAAAAGTTCTTTTCGCGTGCAGTCTGCAAGCATGACCTTGAAAGCTGAAAAAACACATGCATCAAATCTACGCCTCGAAATCCTACAACTGATGTCTCAAAACATTTCCCGTCACTTACCCACCTTTTTCTGCTTCATTGAAATAACAATATAATTATAGTTTAGTGAAAATTTTTTCAGAACAAAAAAAATGTATAACCTCTCAAAATCGTCAAATCGCAATTTCAGAGTAAAAAATTATTCCTTTAACTAGGATAATTACTCGGGTCATACGTTTTTGAATGGAAATATCATCATTTAATTCATTTTCTAAGCAATTCCGGATTTTTCAGAATTAAAAAAATTTTCAATCATATTTCGCGAACAGATTGAGTAAGAATTCGGAAAAAAAATCGTGAAGGCTCCTGTCATTGCAGACAATCAGCCATAAAAATCATGTCTCACTCAAGATTAAAAAATTGTGATGCCGATCGTCTTCACGAAGAATGCATCTTATATATTATAATTCACTGCTGGGAAGCAAAGTTATTTGGCGAAAGAAAATGTCTTTCTTAGTCTACGCTGTGAGGTGGGCTTACCACTCAGGTAAGGCATTCCATTGAAACTAGTCTCATGAACGGTAGAGGAAATACACAAACTTTGCTCTGCAACTTAGAGAAACCTTACCCACTTCTGAGGGTACTTTCGAGGTAACTCACCAAAGTTATAACTGAACTGAACAAGTTTCCAGGTTATCCATAACGGTGAATTTTCAGTGTTGTTACGGTAGGGCGATCCAATTGTTAGCATCAGGTGGTCTCGATTTTCGTACTTTTCAATTCACTACTAAAGCGACATCATCGGCGTCCGAATTACCGTGCTTTCTTGCTGTTCCGTCCTTCAATATCCATGTGGGGTGCAGAACGTTCAACGCTTATCAAATATTCAGTTCGTAATAACTGCAATAAAACCACTTTACCTCACTTTGAAGGTCTAAATTATTACTGCTACTTCAAAGAAATGATATGCTTTGAATTTAGCAGTCGTAGCTTCCTTTTCTTTACAGTGATGAAAACTCAGTTGCGTTGTCCAGTTATCATGTCCAACATTTTTGATTACTCGTACTATGAAGTCACCAAACGCGGTTTAAAATTTATCGGTCATTGGCCCTTTCAATCAGCAGAGAAACGGAGATTTTTGAGGTGGTTAACAGATTTTATCGTTATTACTCTGTTTGTCCCGAAAGTAAGTATGCAAATATTGTCACCAATATAGGGAAATAACACAATTACCAATAAAAAAAATTTACAAATAAAAAATACTTGAATTGAAATAAGAATCGCATTTCCGCTTGTTTGTTGGAATACTTACAAATTTCTGGAATCAAATCAATTGATCTAGTTTCAGTAATAAATTGTTTTTTTAAACTAGATAATCAAACTGATTGAATGTTTATCCGATTGGGACATTGTGATCGAGTGCATACCTATGGTTGGATGGCACGTAATAGCCCAAGCAAAATTTTTCAACTGGATAATAATGGAGGACCGTGTACACATCTTGATTCGTTTTTTACGAATTGGATGGAATGAAAACGATTGATTTATGATTTTTTCAGCTGAAAGATTTATTCTTATCAATTCAGAGGGATTGGGAGAGTTTGAATTTGAAATGCGAGGTCCAATTGCTACGTCACTGGTCAGAGCGGGCACGACGTTTGAATATATATTATGCAAGTATGAAGATTTCATTCATTTCCTGCCGTGCCATGAATTTGATGAAGAAGTTGGCATTTTTTGCATCAATACTGGAGACAATTTTCCGATGATATATTGAAATAGTAATTATAAACTAGTAAGGAGTTTTTTGACCCAAGTGACTGTAGGGTGGCTTTTCGGTGCGTTTATGGTGACTCCAACGTACAAATGCAAGATGACATCAGAAACTGAAATCGGAAAAGATCTGATCGTCTAATCTTGTCATTAAAACAGTAAGATAACATTTTACTATTGATATATTATCTACAGCGATACGATATGACGATACCTTTTGTTACGATTCTCAACCGTGGAATGGTTTCTCACTTTTCGTGACGTGATTATTCATCAGTGTATATTTTCAGTTCTAGGCTGTTTAATTCATCGAGATAGTAAATTTGCCGTGCTATCTTTGTTCTGTTATAGCATTGTGATATCCGAGTTGCTGTATCATTGATAATTTCCACAAACGGTGACCCCCCAGCACTAACTTAAGACCAGTTATGTCAACATAGAGATCAAAAGAGGATGGGATCGTATTGCGCAGGATCACAAACTGAAGTGTTCTACCCTGGTTTACGCAGAAATTAGCATAAAGAATCATGCCAAGAGATAGAAAATGTAGAAATAGTAGAGTTTTCTTAATCGACCAAAAAAATAGGATTGCTACGAAAATCCAAGATAAAACGAGATTAAAGAAAAGTATAATCGGGTAAAAACTTACAGATGTCGATAAATAAAGCGTGAAAAGTAGGCGCGATCACTCAGTGGGTTCGCACAGGCATAATTGACAAGTTGACGCGTTCGGTACGAAAATCGGGATGCTCAGGTTTTTACCGGTCTACTTATTCAATGAGTGTTCTCAATTGTCAGTTAATTGAGAGACTTGGAGACTCGAGTCGTAGGCTATTTCAAGTTTTCTGCAGCTGGATCTGCATTCGTCTCTCTGTGGCCACGTATTTGGAACCCAGTAGATAAATGCTGCCTTCAAGACCGCGGCTGAATGACTCCAGGTGAACCTCTGTTCGTCAATTTAGCTTCTTGTGGGTTACGCAGATATAAATTATGAATACATTAATAAGCTAGCCTATCCTAGACTCACTGAGGTCAGGCGTCAGAATCAATATCAAATTTTCTACTGTTTCACAAAATTAAAACGGATTCAAATGGCGCCATGAATCCACCGTGAAAGTAGGTTGATGCCACTCAATAGATACGTTATGTGCACACCTATTTTTAAGGTGCGTATAGATAAGGAAAAAATCCATGAAGAATTTCCTTTAAATGTATAAATATACCTTGAGTGAATATAAACATTAGGTCGACTCATATTACTTACATATGAATAATCCTGTGGTATAAACGAGTGATTGGTTAACTCGCAATCTTTCGCCACTTCTATGCTCAATCCATGTGCACTACTTCTCGACTATTCTTTGCTCCTTTTTCTTTCTGATTCTCTTGTAGCATTCATGTTTGGAGTCATTCTGATTTATTTTTGTACACCAGCCGTTCCGAAAATTTTGGATTTATTACAACCAATGAATGAGTCTCGTCCAAGAATATTTCTTTATCAAACAGAATTCTTTATCGACCAAGACAAATATTATGTCCAACTACTTTTTCACTCCTACCTGGCGGTGACTATTGGTGTAGGCTACATAGTTTTCTTTGATAATTTATTCGCAACTCTCATTAACCATGCGTGTGGAATGTTTGAAATTCTGATGTAAGATCATTTGTATCATATCAACCAGAACGTAGAATGGTATATTCACTTTTTTTCAGTTTACATCTCGAAACAATATCTTTGAGGAATCCCCAAGACCGGGAAGATACAATGAACAATTCAGATATCCCCATGCAGAACTTCAGAAGATGTTCTAACTTGCAAACTCGCATTCTCAAGTAAGTGACGTTGATGATGACGGTCGCACATATAATTCAATGAATTTTATTTTTGCTCGACGAGTATTTCATATTTGACGCTATTATATTCGATTGAATATACCGTTGTAGCGGTCACTACATTACCTACACGCTTCGTATGCATCTCCCGTACGTCGACGCTTTAGTAACTTAGTGGAGAGCGCTAAGCACTATCCCAAGTAGGGTTTCGGTATTGGGCGAGCCTTGGTCCAAGCCTGGTATGCCAATAGCCAGTACTGGCCGGCTTTTGGTAAATTAAATGGTCGATCATTGGTCCAACGTTTGGATGATAACGCCGGGCCAATAATGGCAAACAATAATTGACCAAGCATTGGGATCATGTCGGGCCCAATTTTGG